TTAACCCGACCGATGCTCTGTAAAAATCTAGATACATCACTAAGCCAGTAAAAGGAGTTTTTCATTCAGGCCAGCACATCCTCTGCAGGCAGCACTGTATCAGCAGCTCACCGCCTCAGCAGCAACATCTCTTCCTACCAACATGGATATCGTAAGGGCACAATGGTCAACAACGACGCGACCAATACGCTGGTCACCAACGGTTTCGCGAGCGGTTCAACTATAAACCGGTTTGTTCCAAACGGTTCAGTCAGCGGCAGCTCGCCTTTTCGTGGAAACTCATCGCATACCGTACCTAATGGAGGCAGCAGTTTACGGAATGGAGGATCGCCACGCTGTTCGCTCGCCAGGTTTGTTGTTCATCCTTGTTGCTGCACTTAATGCACATACAAAATCACCGAAATTGCACGGACAGTCATTATGAGGGTCCTTTCGTCGTTATCTTCAAAAAGCCAGCGGCAGTCAGAAAGTATGGTATCAGCGTTCGACACTGCGGATGCTATGTGTTTGAGTGGCTTATCAACGATTGCAAGGCACATCAGCCCTAGAACTTTCACTCGTGAACTACGTTAATGATGGCCATTGCATTCGAGGCAAATTATGCACTGTGCTTTATCAATGATATTATCGTAAGAACGTACAATGCACTGCTGCCGTCCCAGCTTCCGGAGAGTAGCGCTTTGATCTAAAACACTTTAAATATATACCTCTTTGGTTTTTTTCCTAAATGTTTTTGACAGGTGCTGAGCGTGGTTCTTGTAACTCAGCAAAATATAGTGCCTTTTGATTGATTGGGCCCAGCAAGCCTTCAGCTAAACTACGCATTTTTGAACTGAGTTAGTGCTTGTGCGCTAAGTCAAGATTGCCATCAGGCTGGCCCTACCAGATGATATAGTATTAGTCGTGGCAGCTGTTAAAGTTGTTAGTTGCATAGCTGGGGAACCATGTTCCGAATACAGCTGTTAGTGTATCTCAATTTCTTTTTTCATTTTTTAATGACGGGGTTTCAGCTATTCATCGTATGGGTCAGTGGTAACTCAAACGAATGGGAGCAGCCCGACGAGCATCAGGCGATCGCCGCGGCAG